TCGAAACAAACAATATATATATATATATATAATGTTTCGTTGAAACTGAAATGTCGTCTATACTGCGCCAGTGTGTGGTCAGTTCTGCTCTATAGTTGCGAGACCGTATATTTGTGCGTGGAACATATTCGTCGTGTAGAAGTGTTCGATTGCCGATGTTTACGTAGTTTGGCGCGGTTCGGATGGAGCGAGCGTGCAAGCAACTAGTATGGCGTCGCGTGTTGGGTAATGATCCATTGCATTGTATTCCGATTAGTTGGCTTCGCTGGTTGCGACATGCCCAGTCATCGTCTGCTGCACCACGCCCTATTCGCAGTTGCGGCTACAGGTTGGAACAAACTGCATAGAGATCAACAGATGACGTGGAAACGACGCATGAACAAATGCACAAAACTATTAGGTAGAATAGGCGTCTCCCGTCTTTCAGGTTGGGGCCCAAAAGACTGCCGCTGGTTGGTTGGAGACACCGAAAGATATGGCGACTATCGGGTCAGAATGCTCTAAAAAGTATGTATGTACACTTAGATTGTGTACTCCGTGTGTTGACTACAGAGGTTCATTTTCATTACCTCCCTCAAATTAGGCCCAATCGTTCCCCATTTTGTGCTTTATCACTCGATTTGTGAACATTGTGAGCTTGGCAGCGATCAATGAATTTCGTTTCACTGTATTTCACTGTACGATGATGATTATGCTTGCTTCGAGACTTCTGAGGCCGTGCCTCACCAACCGTTGTCTAAAGAGCTGACTGTTGCTTGATCTCTGGGTCGAAACTGTAAACCCAGGCCTCATCACCACTGATTATCTCCCTAATCACATTGGAACGTCCACTAGCAAACCTGGCAAGCATAGTGCGGCACCAATGCACCTGAACTGTTTTCTGTTCCTTACCGAGCTGATGGGGTACCCAAGATGGGGAGGACTGATCCCGATGGTTTTCACCAGCCGTGCCACTGTCACCAGCGCATCCTTTTCCACCACCGCTTGCACAGAATCAGTGCTGTCCGCTGTTGTGGCCTCCACAGGTCGACCGTGTCTCACCATCCAGGGACCGCCTGTCACGTCTGAATTTCGCAATCCAGTCAAACGCGGTGCATCTTGAAGACGCCTCATCATCAAAGACAGCTCTCAAACGATAAACACTATGCCGCGACTCCTTTAAACCACATTTGTAGGCGTAGAACATCATCGCCCTCCAGTCACATCGACCGAGTTTCCTCCTTACATCGTTTTTTCTTTTTTCATTTTGACTTCCTTTTAGTGAATACATAATGATACTATTTTCACCAGGGGGGAAATGGCCAATCAAAGGGCTGCCATACAACACACAAATGGGGAAAGCCAGGCAGTGGTGGTGGGATTCAAACATTCTTCCTTCGGGGTGATAATTTGGTGACGTTACCACTGGGCCACCACCGCCCAGTCCGAATATAGCGACCCGTATGACTTGAGCTGTACTCGGCTGTTGATATTTGGTTCTGAGTTGCAACCAATGAACAATATTCACAACAGATTACGGCTCACGTTCTACTTTCCCGGTCATGTGCATTTCATAAGTTTACTGCCTATACGGAAGCTCCTTGCTCAGCCCTGGCGCATATGTGTGTTTGTGGGTGTGTTCCGGAAGTGTTGAACAAGGAATAAAGTTGATAAAGTTCTGCAAGGGAACGTGATGAAATAACGATGTTGTTGAATAACGTAGAATGGGGTCACCAGAAACAGTTTTATATAAACAGGTCGAACTGCGTCTAAGGATCAGAAAATAATTCTCATGAATGGTGACATTTATCAACACAAATCAAATCTGGTGTAGGGCAATCTTGGTCGACTTTGGAGCAGTTGCTTTCCTGAAGAAGCTTTCATTTGTCAGAAAATCCATGTAATAGTTCGCTATTCTTTTGCTATGCAGACTGTCTCTGGTGGTTTGCCTATGGGCGTACTGATCGGTGAATAAAAGCACACATTCCTTCTTACGACAACCCTAGGTGCGGGGAGGAGGTGAGTATCAAAACCATTGATGCTCGTCTTTCACAGTTACTTGAAGTGACAATCACAACATGTGCTGACAAGACACACAAGAAATGCAGCAGAATCCACCGGGATCGCACCATTGCTGATGTGACTCATGAAAACGCACACATGTGTGCGAGTTTTTAAATAAGGAAAATGTACATTCACATCAATGGAGTGTTGGATTGCTAACGACAGTGACAAACTTACTGCACGTATTGAATACTCATGGGCAATGGCCTCCTGGGGACCGACCCAGCTGTCCTAGATCGACTTAACCCAGGCGCATCGGTCGCGCCACCAGCCACAGATTCACCGGGACCGAAGAGGACCGGCTGTGTCTGGGCCACGTCCAAGGAGGACATCACTTGACGTGCCACTGTCCACAGGTAGCGTTCCAGATTGCGTTGGTCTGCAACAAACTGTCGTAGAGATTCCTGGTCACGTAGAATTGCTGTTCGAACTTGTGATTCGGACATCAGACCAAGAGCGACACGATTCCGCTCTGACTGAGCCTGAAATAGTTTAAAAATGAATGTTTCAGCACAAAGAAGTCCCTGCTTTCAAATCGATGCGTTGAATTTCACACCGAGCACCGGGGAGGGGGAATACAAAAAAATGTGAATAGCTCCGTAATAACCCAAACAATGCGGTCATCACGAGCGACATGCTTGGCCACGTGTTCATACCCCCCAAACCATTTAAATCGTAACTTCAACAGACCGGACACTGAGATGCTCAAATAATTCACTCCCTCTGGACGACTGCGCCCTGATTGCGAGTCTATTTGGCCTCACCTCCGTGTGGCCAATAATCCGAACATGTTTCCCTCGTGGTTCGTCGATTGAAAGAATGCTGTGGCCAGATCGATCAGATACAATTGTTTTTGCTGCTGCTGCTCTATTTGTGATCCGAGAAGCATTGTATCTTAGCGAAATCAGGATCACAATGTGCGGCATTAATCCAAGTCTGGTCTTGAAAATATCGAAAAAAAAATCAGACAATACCAATGCCTGAGTGGGAGGGATGCGTTGAGTAGTGTGAATAGACTGGATGAACTGAGGGCTTGGTTAAGCATAAAATTACCAAAAATGTTTGACCATTGAAGCTACGGACTGCTGTATGCATTTTCAGGTGGCGTACAAGAGAATTACTACTGAGATGGTTAAGTGTAAATTGGTTGGCATAGCATGACGGAAAGGGCGGTTGTGGACGTTCAGCGCCGGTGTCTTGGAACCCGAAGGTTTTAAGGCGGGGAAGCGATCGCTCTGTCAAGAAAGTCACAAATGACCACAAGAAACCTCGTGAAATGCGTTATCTGACCAGCCAAAAAATAAGGCTGTCATTCGCCAAGCTAACGTTTCCCCCGGTAAGACAAAGTCACCTGAGGCTGAAGTGGGTTACTAGTTGAAAGCACTAGTGATAGCAACTTTATTTGTTAAATATTCTCACAGCATAGGGGAAGAGTATTATGCACATGCGAGGGATGCAATGCGCTAGTATATATTGTAACGTAGTTGATTTACATCGTAAGTAGACGGTCTACTTGTTTATTCTCATTTTTTTGTGCATTTTCTCCACGCCATTTGGTCATTTTTCGATTCCAACGGAATTAGCAGAAATATTCACGCGCGCCAAAGTGTTTATCGTTCTTCACGCCACCAATACAATTGTGAAGATAAATTCCCACTCTACTCAACGAGTTGCTAATCTGCTATCTCTGCACATTTACAAAAGGCGACGGACCAATTTGTGGAATCAAATTCCGTGGCACTGTTTTCCCACACGTACGGGTCTGTTTTACCTATCACCGACCGCATCCATCGATACGCACCAGTTGAACCTGACCGTATGATCCAAACAGACTATCACAATTCAACCTTTGTTTTTCATCAACGGTCTCCCTGTTCATAATGGGTTAAAACCGTCCGTCGCAGTGTGTCTAAGACTGACTCGCCAAGTGTAACACAAGGATTAGGAGTATGTGGTCTGATAACGTGTGGAGAGGATGTCAGGTATTGCCTTTATCTTTCATCCGTCATTTGCAAAACTCTCGAGCAAACGAATAAAACAGATCATGACCTTGCCAGACAGTTCGTGGTTTTGCAATGATCGCTCAGAAACTCCGATAGTGAAGTGTATGAAACGCATGACAGAAAAGTTTGAAAAGCTATTATTAGTGGAGCAAAGAACGAAAGAAAAATTACTTTACTAGAAGAAAAGATAAAGGCATTGAGTGCTCAGGTCAACCCGCCCGGTCCAATTTAATACCCTCAAAAAGACCTCGTTGTTTTCTTAAAAAAAAAACATTACAACGCCACCTATAATCAGCCTGGAACTCGACGACGAGGGAAAGACAGTACAGGATAATACCTGAGAGCCATAGTCTGCCTAAAGTATCCATTATTGAGGCGCACAATTCAGTGCCAATGATAAAGAGAAATCTACAACAGTGAATTAACTGTTATTCGCCCCAACGTCAGAGCCCAAAACGCATAGATTGAGAGAAAGACAAGCTAACGAGCTTCATCGCTAGGCTGATTTATGCAACCAAATGGGAATTGACGTTCACCCAGTTGGAATCGTACGCCGGTACTCCATTCATCGTCGTCTCATGCTGTGGAGCCAAGACTGACTCGCGTAACATTTTTAAACGAGAAGGACCTGGAACAGGTTCTTCTCCCGAATTACCTTCTCAGGAAAGGTTCGGGTAGATCAAGAATACTTCTAGATACGTTCTGGACGGAACGTACACAATATCACACTAACCCAACAGATGCATGACCATCGGAAAATAAACGAGTTATTCTAATTCACGGAGTCCCTCAACTGGATCATCCAGATGAATGCAAACAGAACGACTGCGAGGAATGAGGTTTCATTAGAGAACCAAGTAATTGTACTCATGTTCTTACAAAGGCATTTAGTTGTCTACCAAGCTCACCGAACTACCGCGGCAACGGCCTGAGGATAATGGAAATAACCCTCCGAAAATGGCAAACTCTGTATTACAGTCGTGGAAGGAGAATAGAAAAAGGGATTCACCGGAATTGCACCTAAAACATAATACTGGATCACAGCAAAGTCCAAAAACAGAACCCGATCCTAACAGGTCACTTTCGTCGACTAGTGCGGCTTTCATCAATCTACATTTATCAAGCAGTACTGACGAAGTCAATTCTTCAAGAGCTAATGTTAGAAGACCGCAAGTGGGTCGGAAGAAATAACAACACATAGCCAGACAGATTTCTGTAGCGAAAATATGCCTCGTTTTTAGACCAATGCATGAGGTTACCGGAACAAATTCCCCGAAACGGAGCATCGTTAGAAAATTAACAAGAGCAATATTTCGAGATGACATCATTCACACGCTTGCTATCAGCGTTCGTTCGGCCACAAACGGAATACGACGTTCAAGTATGAAATCCCTTGTTGAACAGCGACAAGGCTTTAGAACGTCCACCAAGGTCAGCAACACAGACTATAAAATGTATGCAAAACAAGACATACTCCGAAGGAAGGAATTTACTCGTCTCATTACCGTAGACTTCGAGGGGACCTAATCTTGACATACCACATACTGCATCTACCCAACCACCCTAGACATCCTGTGTTGACTTTACCTCAAAATAATCATCTCAGTGGACATCGATTGTACCAAGAACAGTCGCCTAGATTGCCGACATCTCTCATTTGCAGTTAGAGTGTGCGGTGTATGGAATTTTCTCCCATCACATGCTGTATGTGTTCTTAAGAATCAGTTATTCGAATTGCAGCCTGACAAAGCACTGGAAAAATTAACGTTTCAACATTCATGAGCGATCATGTGCAGTATTATTCTCTAACTGTAAAATTGTCCAAAATATCCTGTAAAAATAGTGTGGGACATGATAAACGTTAGCTTCATTAAATCCCCATAATAAAAGTTGACTTTGAGAACAGCTTCAAAACAAAAGCGTGCAATAATTGGTAGAGTGAAAATAAGACACCAGAGGCGAATGGAGAACGAACCTTCCGTTGCGGCTCAACGTAGAGAATAAGATCGTTCACAATATCCACAATCATGTGATATTGTGGCTGAAAAGGACGGAACAAAAAGGGAGCGACATACATTGAACTGATTGAGGTGAGGGTTATTCGAAAAACGTTCAAAACTGAACGAAAGCTGGGTGTATTCTGTCAAAGGTTGAGCACTAAATCGAGAACTTATTTCAACTCAAAAATGGAATGAGCAAAAGCACGAAATGGACAATAAATAACCGAAAACAGACAAAATAGTTTCAGTTCGGCAGAGCTGGTGTTCACATGATCCAATTATTTTGCGTACGCGTTTGGAAGCTTCACATGGAACTCGTTACTGCCCCACTGTTCAAAACGTCGTGAAAAAAGGAATGCTGTTTCTGTCTGCACACAAAACAATAGTACAACGCAAGTAGTACATTGCTGTTCAAACACTAGTGTTGCGAGGTACTACTCGCATTCGTGAGTAGCGTGCGTGCACAACGAATGTTGCATTTTGACGCTATCTCCAAGTGGAGTAAAGGACTGCTTCTGACGTAACTACACAAGAGACAAAGAAACTGTTGGGCTGGAGATCATACATGAAGGGACATTCACGAACAAACTAACCAAAAGTTACAAACTAGGTGCTTCGTTATGTGTAATAACATTTAACTCCATCCTACTTTCTTCGAGGATGACCGTGGTTTGAAACACAGATACGGCAAAGGGCTTACTTATCGACAGGATCAACTACAGAAATCGTTTATGTGGTAGTGAGACATCGAATTCGCCAATAGATGAAATCCGTTGACAAGAATTTTTCCGCACATGGGATGAAGTGAATGGACTATGGATGCAGCCATAAATCGACAATCGTTTAGGAGTTAATCAGTCATTAAAATATTTCAGTTTCAGCGTAAGTATTTACAACCATTAACCATGCACTTCGTGCGCCGGTTTTGGTTGCTGTCATTTGATTGCCCATTTGGATAAAAGAGCAAGGTGTAGATTGGAATGTCGAAGCAAATTCAAGCGGAAGATGGGGAATTCATGTAAAATGGTGTTAGGAGAATAACGAGTGGATGCACGAGCACCACTCTTTGCGACACCCAGCTATATCATTCTGTGTAGCTAACCATCGGTGACCATCATCCCGAGGACCCCAGACAGGGAGCCTAACGGGGCCTATGTGACCTAGTCTCCTGGTTAGGGTTTTCATACCTTCATGCCAGGTCTTAGTTTGACCACCCTTTATCTTATTCCAATCGCTACCAGCCTT